TAATTTCTTCCTAAGAAAATTGGATGCATTCTCTTGCATTTCTCCCCATTTAAAAACAACATTCTTTTTCACTAAGTCATTCAATGGTTCAGTTATAGTTCTAAAATCATTTATAAATTTCTTATAGAGGTTAGCTAACTCATGGAAACTCTGAAATTAACGTGCACTTTTTGGTGTTGGCAAATCCATAATGAATTTAACTTTGTCTCTATCTAGAGCTACTCTACTTTTATCAACTATGAAGCCAATAGAGTGAACTTTTTCATGCAAAAACTACTCTTATTAAAATTAAATTTCTATTTTCCATGTGTAATCAAAACTAATTTAACATGATCAAGCAAAATCTTCAAATAAATTATAATATCATCACTATAAACAACAATATGTTTTCTCATATATTTTCTCAAAACATTATATATTAAGCGCATAGGTGTACTAGGAGTATTAGTTAACCTAAAAGGCATAACAAGTCATTCATACAATCCAAACTTAATATTGAAAGTTGTTTTCCATTCATCTCCTACGTGCATTCTAATTTGATGATATCAAGATTTCAAAATAATTTTTATGAATAGACACGAATCATGCAATAAATCAAACATATCATCTAACCTAGGAATAGGATGTCGATACTTTACCGTGATTTTGTTGATGACTCTATTATCCATGCATATGCGCCAAGTTTCATCTTTCTTTGGCACCAATAAGTCTCGTATAGAACATGGACTCAAACTTTCTCGTACATAGCCCTTCTCCATGAGCACCTCCACTTGCCTTTGAATTTCTTTTTATCTCAGTTGGATTGACTTGATAAGCTGGCTTATAAGGAATGACAGTACTTGAAATGAAGTCTATTTTATGTTCAGTACCTCTAATGAGAGTTATTTCTTTATCTTGAAACATGTCTTCAAATTCGTGTAAAAGAGATTGAAAAACACTAGGCAAAGCCAAGTTGTTATAGTTAGAGACCAAAAATCCTCCATTGTACATACAAAGATAGATGTTTATGAAAATCTTCTCACCTCTCCAACTTCAACTATAGCCAAATAACTCTCTCTCTTCCTTTTTTCTTCAATTTCATGTCTTTTTTCATTCTTCTTTTTTTCTCTTGAATTTTTCTCTATTTTTTCACTCACTTTGGTTTCCCTTTTAACTTTTTTTTTTTCCTCCAACTTTAATTGTTCAACAAATACATTTGCAGAACTCAAAGATACAAGAGTGGTTTTTCTACCTTCTTTTACAAAAGAATACCTATTCAAATAGCCATCATACATAACCCTCCTGTCAAATTGCCTTGGTTGGCCAAGTAATATATCTCCAGCTTGCATTGGTAATACATCACAAAGAACTTCATTTTTATATTTTCCCAAAGTAAAAGATATTAAACCTTGGGAAACTACCTTCATTGTTCCACTATCATTGAGCCATTGGAGCTTGTAAGGTTTAGGATGATTTTGGGTTGGAATTTGTAATTTTTTTATCAACATGGTACTTACAACATTGGTGCAACTTCCACTATCAATGACAAGACTACAAGCAGTCTCCTTGACGAAACACCGCGTGTGGAATAGGTTGTCTCTTTGATCATCAATATCATTCTCCATAACTTGAGTTTTAATAAGTCTTCTTATAAGTGCCAAATGAATCCCATCTTCCAGTTCCTCATTCTTCTGGACTTCTTCAACTAGATCATTGATCTCCCCTTCATTTTCCTCGTCTTGGTTCATGATTGTACAAACAGTAATAAAATATGTTTAGGACCTCAGACACTCAACTCACTAATTTTACACTTAGGGACACTCGTGTTTATACACACAAAGATAGGTTGTTTGGGAAAGTGACTAAATTATGATCAAGGTAGGCTAATATATGGGTAAAGCAATTCTGATAGTAGCAAGCTATTCAAGGCAATCAAGATAAGTTAATTATGAAATAACAACAAAATAAAACAAGAAGTGAACAAACAAATAAGAGACACAAAGATATTTTAGGATAGAATTGCACACGGAAAAAATAAAAAATAAAAAATTCAAAAAAGAAAGGACGTGAAGATTTTAAGAACGATCTAACTCTCTTTTTACAGAATTCGAGAAATTTAGAAGTTATCTTCAAGCATAGATTATGAGAGAGAAAAAATATCAAACACAATTGTTCTAGATTTAGATGGATTAAGAAAAAGATGTGAATCAAAGTTTATTTGATCTTCAAATAAACATGCAAATGATCTAAAAAAATGATAAAGATCGTTTATAATCACAATCGTAAGAACAAATATGATAAGATTTTTTTTTTTCAAGATCTAAACGTGATCTTTAGGAAGAAAATGAGAACAAAGTGAAAAGTTGATGAATAATGGCAGATATGACCGCAAGAAAATAAATTGACAGATTTAAAGAAAAGATAAACAAGGGAAGAAATGAAAGATAAAATCAATTCTAGAGTCGGCCACAAAGATGTAAACCTAGGCTCTGATACCAAATTGATAAGGAAACCCTAATTTTCAGCCCAACGAGATCCAAACTTTTGTTGAAGCAAGAACCCTTGAATCAGAGTAATTAACACCTCTTTATACTAAATTTGAATCAACCAAGAGATAACGCTAGAATTAGATTACCACTTACAATCGAAGATCTAGAAGCAAGATTTGAAAATCTTGTAGATCAAGGCTTGATTGAATGGCTCGGGTGCAATTCTACACAAGAATTGCTCGAAACTTAGTAATGACAAATATGATGCTCGGATTTCTAAGGAAAACATCTCAATTTGAGATCTGAATTACATTCATCCACGAATCTGATTTTTACATAACATATTGTGGGTATTTATAGTCTCCCGACAAAAGACATTTGTTGTCGGGATTCAATCCCGATTCCCTTTAATCTCCACAAAAGACGAAGTCAATTTTGACCATTTGACCATTGCAAAATGAAAACAAAAAAACAATAAAATCTTTCAACAAATGTTGATGTACTTGAGTGACTTGCAATAGGTTCAAAATTAATTGAGCTCTTTGCACGTAGGTTCAAATTCTGTTGTTGACATTTTTGAATCGACATTTTTTTTATTCTTCTTGGCATCGACATTTTTTTAATATTCTTGGCAATAGGTCCTTTTAGAACACCGTGAATCTTTTCAAAACCTCCTAAGTGTGTTCGAACGACATAAAAGTTTCTCATGTAAGTCTCCTAAGTGTGTTTCAACGGAGTAGAAGTTCCTCCACAAGATCTTCCTCGCTAGACTTGAATACAAGGTCAAGGTTTATGGGAGTCTCTTAAACAAATCATCAAAGGATTGGAGAAGGAGAGTCGGAGATAAGAAACTGTAAAACTTGAGATAGTTTTCTCAAGCTAAGGTCTTGTTTAAGGAACTTCAAAGAATCTTTACCCAATAATATATTTGAATATCTAATATATTATGATATAATATCTTATTTAAATTATATTTAAATTTCTTAAGATATATTTAACTAATTTGAATGGATGGTATCTAAGATACCTTAATTGTTTTAATATATGATGAATCAAATACAATAAATATACATTTTACTTTTAATATATCTATTATAATAAATATTGATTTGAGCACTTCAAATTAGATCAAGTTTATCTTTTATATTTTGTAACAACGGTAAAAAAAAATTATTGATTTTCCATCTCTCCACTAGTTTCTCATGACCTCTTCCCTAAAATATTTCAATTAACAAGGTTTGAAACAGCCTATGTCCACCAAGTAAGTGGCTACACTATCGGTCTGGTTGGAAGAATTGTTTTATTTATGATGATACGTGCCTAGTGGCCTTGTACATGTCATGTTTGTGATATGCCTTATGATGTGATATGATGTTATGAATGTGTCGTTATATGATAGACTAAATGATATGATGGTATGAATGAAATGTTATGTTATGTTACCATAGGCTATGCAATGTATGAAATACCATGACGACACTACGATGTATTATGTTAGGCAATAATATGCTATGATATGTTATGAAATATTTTGAAATAAAAAAAAAAGCTATGAAGCACCCCTCTATAATTTGAAAGTTATGTTATGTCATGAATGAATGAAACGATTTATGAAAGTTTTAGGTATATTATTGAGGGTAATATGTAAGAAAGAATAGGATTTGTAAGCTCATGCATATTTTATAGTGCATCGAGATACTTCAACTTTATGATAAGTACAAATGCATACACTATGAGATTGAAATGACCATCATGCTTAGCATGGTGTAACGATGGTCGCTATTCCCTCTGGGTGTCTAGTTACAGCCCAAAGGAGCTAGTTCGACCAGCAGGCCCAAAGAGTGTGCAAGCACGCCTGGTGGATCCATTCTCGCACGTGTGGGTCGTTTGTAGAAAAGTACTACACATCCAATTTACTCGGATTGGAAAACCATCTAAGATAAGTCAACCACATAGTTGACTCATAAAAAGCATTTTCTTTCTTTAAAAGAAACAACCCCCACAAAGGCATTATAAGCAAGAAATAACAATCATTCAATCGATTGCCTAAATGAAGGGGGAAATGAAATAAGTAATCCAATTAGTTGGATTAAAAAAGCCTCAAAAAGTGGTGCATCATCATGTGTCGGTTTAATTATTGCCCTCATTTCTTATCCCATGTTTGCCTTATCATACCAAAAATCTTTACATATCTTTTTCCATTTACCATCATCATTAATCCATTTTGTAGTTCACACAAACAAATCCTTTCCATCCGTAGGGGAGGAGACCTTTGGTTAAGGGGAGGAGACGTCTAACCACATTCCTGTTTATAGACTGGCTGGGTTAAGGGAACCCGGAACCCACCGAAGCCATAGAAAAGAGTGTTCATAGGGGCAATTGTCATTACTTATGGACCCAGCCCCTTGATCTATCCAGGACCAAGATGAAGCTGGATCAAAAACATATAAATCAAGAACATAAATTATATTTTTGAAGCTGAAAAACAATGAGAGGAAGTATAAGAGTGGGGAAAAAGGATCGAGTTGAACATTTAAGGAAAAACCAAAGCTGAGCTTTTTTTATTGACAATACAGATCGAACCCATCTCTGTTTTTCTTTTTCTATTGTTAGTTCAAACACATCCTTCATCCTCATTCTCAAAAAAATAAAGGAAACAAAAGAAAAATAAACACCAACTTTGAGAAGATTAAGAATAAATAAGAACAGAAGCAAAATTAACGATGGAGCAGCAGCGGGTTCGGGGCAAATCGGGCACCGAATGATCGAATGATGGAGCTCGAGGATATGATTAAGCAGGCTGTTCCTCCTTCCAGTCTTTCCTGATATCAAATGTGTAATTGATCTCCAAATAGCACTTGTTATCATCATCGACGAACTGAGCTCAAACAAACAAATAAACAAACAAACAAGCACCCATGATGTGCAAAACAGAGCAAAACAGAGCAAAACAGAGCATTTTCTTTGCATCAACCAACTCACCCTGCTTCTGGCTGAATAGGATCCCCTCGCAAAGATGCCTGATGGAGTCGTTTCTTCCTGCATCTCATGATAATAAGGTTCAGGCTGAGGGCTAAAGGTTCCGATCATCTCTTTTGTACTGTCAACTGTGACATTCAAAAAGAAGAAGAAATCCGTTAATGGCAGAGAGAGAAACAGAGATTGTTCTGCTTTGTTTTTGTTTTTGTGTTTACCTTTGACGCCAGTTTTCCACACGGTATTGGTGTATTTGAGACCAGATACAATGTTATTGCTGACCTGAAATGTAAACAAGAGGCTATAACGACTGCCTTCCTTCAAAGTAAACCAGAGGCCTTTGGGGTTTCCACTTTCAGGAACTGGAAGAACAATGTCAGGCCGCTCTGCTGACTTAATTGCAAGGCTTACAATCTTCACATCCGGCTCAAGAGTTTCTAATACACAACCAAAACTCAAATGCACAAGGTTCTTATAAACAAAACGTAACAAAAACAAAAAAACAAAAAAACAAGAGTATCCCATTCTATTCTGTTGTGTTCTGTTGTAGTGGTGGGATTACCTCCAACAGCTTCAAAATCGACATCACCCAGAAGCTGTTCCTTCCATCTTCTGAGGCTTTCATCATCCTGAGAGTGAGAGATTAAAAAGGTAAGGAGAAGAAATCGAAGAAAGTAAAAGGAGGGAGGGAGAGAGAGAGAGAGAGAGAGAGAGAGAGACCTTGTCCTTCTCGTTGAGTTCTTTCAAAGTGTACTGAGGACCCAACTCGATTTTCCTTCCCTCTTCGTCGTCGTCCTCTTCAGTGGCACAGATTGAGGTCTCACTCATTTTACGAGTCAGCCCAGAAGACGCATCAACGCCGGGTGTTTCATCCCCAGCTTTTTTGGGGTCTGAAAGTTTGGTCGAATCGTCTTGTTTGGCGTCATTGTCGTTGTCGTCGAACCCCATTGTCCGTTTTGAAGTGGAAGCGATTTGAAGGGCCAGAGACATCAACAGGCCATGAACAGAGGGGAAATGGTACCACGCCTAATGGTACAGAGAAGGAAGAGTCACACCCACCAATATTGGTGAAGAAGAGACAGAAAACCCTAAAGAGTGAAATACCTGGGGAAGAGAGAAGAAGAAAGTTGTGTGTGTGTGAGAGAGAGAGAGAGAGAGAGAGAAGTGGGAGAAGGATGAAAAGGAAAATAAGAGGGAAATGGGTGTGAGAGAAAGAAAAAGGCAGAAAGAGGGAAAACAGAGGAATGGAGGGAGAAGATAGAAGAAGAAGAAGAAGAAGAAGAAGGGAATCAGCGAAAGCAGTTGCAACAAAAAGTTGAATGCGGAGAAGGAAGGAGTCATGTGGTGATCCCTAATTTTATCTTCTAACTCCAACATCCTCAACCTTACTCACTCACTGCCGTTACGCCACGAACACCATATTCCAGGACCCTCAATTTTATTTTTCTTTTTTTTTTAGATTTTATAAATGAACCCAATATCATTATACATTTATTTTAATAAGTATTTTAGAAGGAAGACTTGCACATTTTATGAATACCAAGCAGTAGTATCCTACATGATAGGGAACTACTAAGAACACCATTTTCTTCTCTCTCTCAATCAACATGATAGGGAACTACTAAGAACATAGCGATCATGAAGAACCGAAGATATTGTTGAGAATTGTTAGATCGTCTCATTTGTCTAATTTAAAGAATGATCATGAGTTTATAAGCAAAAAAATATTATCTCCATGGATACGAGACTTTTTGAAGAAGTCAAAAGGAAAGTTATTTATGCTCAAGATGGACATGTTATACCATTGTGGAGAATCGTGGTTCAATACATACCTACAGTCAAGGGTTGTAATAGTGATACGATACCTGGTTGGAGATTCCCACACGAACTATTGCTATCGCTATGCCCACAAATGGTATGATTATATACTCGGATTTTTCATATAAATGTTACTCGTCTATTTAGGATGATAATCAAGGTTCAAAATCTTAAGATCATATTGATTCAATCCATATGATAATATATATTATAGTGTTTCTTAATCCCTTCATTGTTAATGAATCCCGAATCTCCAAAATAGTATTATATTGTCCACTATGAGTATAAGCTCTGGTCACTTTGTTTTAGGCTTCCCCCAAAGGCATCATATCAATGGAAATGGTGTTCCTTACTTATAAACACATGATTTTCTACTTAATTAACCAATATGAGACTAATTAACGACTAATGCAAAGCTGTTCTCTTTGATCGATATAGGACGCATAAAAGTTAGTCAAATATCGGGTTCCATGGGAAGAACATATCACCAAAGACGGAATCACAATAGTTATGAAGCCCCGATATGTGTAGAGTTGTATAAGATACTTGGGAAACGATATTCACTAGAATAGAGCAAAAGCGATGAACTAATAGTGTGAATTTAGAGGGCAATATAAGGATACTAATTACTACACATCCAAATTGTATAAGTATATCAACAAGAAGCTAAGTGTTCATCTCTCAGAGAATCAATTGTGTTACATGATATACTGTATAAGAACACAATGAAAAGGATTTGGATTGTCATGGTCTCAAAGTTATGGAATTATAAGCCAAGTTATTTGATATGTTAATTTAAAATATTGTGTTGGGGTGTTATCATGGGAAGATTTTGAATGATGATTTTTTTAATTTTATTTTATTCCTATAACTAAGAAATCCCAGAGGCCCTTAGGTCGGAATGGTGGAAAGGTGAAGCATATAAATGGAGCATTTCTAAGCATATAAAGTTGTTGTTTCAAGTTCTATGAGGAGTGGTTTGATGCGTTTCTAAGTAAACATGGGTTGGGATATGAAGCATTTGGATTCCAAGCACTCCTCAGTGCAACAATTAGAGAAATTATGGGTCAATAAACAACTTGCTGCTGCTCACATGCGCTCCAAGGAGGCTCAAATTGATATCAACTTAATCAACACCTGATATGCTATTTGCAAACAGTGGCTTTCTTCCTTACAACAAGGACGCTCAATTTGATCTTCACATTATTACCCTTCTTTGGCGCACACAATTGCCCAAGGCCATCATTTGAGGGCATATAGAAATTCCTACTAGTCTGATTTTAGTCTGATTTTAGTTCGGAGTGGGCACCATTCTGTTGTTATTTTAGTTTGTTTTGTTTTTACTCACATATTTTCTAAGAAAATTCTTAAAAGGTCATTATATTAGGATTGCTCCGAGCAAAGATCATGCAACTCTATCATTTCTACGAGCAACTAAAAAAGGAAGGTGTACCTTATTGGTATAGGTAATAGCTATCAATTCTTTTAAGTCTTTTTTAGTCCATCCCATGTGATCTCAATTCATTAGGGGTGTTACATACCCACCATCTTTGCTCTCATTTGTCCACAAACCCATCTTATTAGGAGAGATTTAATGCTTCATGCCTAAAATTCAAATATGGATTCGAAATATAGATTCGGCACCTAATGGCTATGACATTCTCCTACATCTCCTGCAACATGGTCGTGTTACTTGCTTCTCGCTTCTAAGAGAGGGAGTTTATTGACGTACTCCTCTACTTGATGCTCAATGTCACGGTCGTACTTCTTCAACCGTGTTGCGTTATTATCTTGACATGCTTACGATAAGCCTTAAAGTGGAATTCAAGCACCATTCAAATTTTTTGCCCTACTTTGTGGCTTCGTCGAACCTTCTGTGTTGTTTTCCTTTGTTAACAAAACACAACTTGTGTGGAATCCAAGCCTATTTGGCCACACATGCGACTAGAGTGTGCATGTTCAATCATCTACGACTCATGTTTCGAGATAGCTCAACCATCTTAGCTTGCTAGGACACCCATTGAGAATTGTCCCATGTGTGGATCGTCTATCGTGATGTCCTAAACATCCTTCTCTTCGGGTTCTCATCACGCATGGGGTAATAGCCCAAATATAAAAAAAGTAATAATAATAATAAAAAAAAACAATCTTCTCTTTCCCCAACAATCTGTCCTCATCCCACCCTATCACATCCCTCCAAAATGAAACATAACAAATTTGTCAGATTAAGAAAACGCTAAAAATATTAGAAGAAAACAGAAATGTGTATCAGATTTACTTTTTATTTAGAGAATTAGATAAAGTTATATTTCAAATCTCCTCTTTTCTTCATCGAGTTATGAGTAATGGATTCAGATCTTCTTCCCTTATCCCATTATTTAGAGTTTGGTAAAAATCCATTAACATAATATTTGTTTAGAGAATTAAAATAAATACAGAGTAATAAGGAAAGATTTGGTGAACATAATCCACATAAAACAGTCCAAATGTTGTCTAGTGACCCGATATCTCCTAAAATTCTAAGAATAGAAAATAAATATTAATGAAAATACAAGTGTGTATATATTATATATATATCCAAAGCTCTAATTAAGTCTCCCATGCATGGACCATGGTAAAATTTAGAGAATTGAAACTGAAATTGATGTCATGATTCATATAGGTTGACTTGGATGACAAAATTGAACTTTCCTAAGGATAAATTGGAGACACCAGCCTAAGCTAATTTGGTAAGTGTCGTTACTATTGACATGGTTATACTTGATATTGACACGTGTCCCGTGGTTCTACATGTGTCATATATATTGATATGTGTGAATTGTTTATGGATCGATATGCTTATGATATGATGTATATATGTTATAATATGTGAATTGTATGATAACACTTATGGTACGAGGTGTTCAATGTTATGTTTGAGATAGATATGAGAAGGATGCATTATACATAATGTAATGATAGGAGTAAGATATATTCATGAAACATTAAGGTTAAGTTACGTATCGAAGTGCTATGAATACGAGAGATTGATAAAAATGATATGATCACAATCGATTGAGGAAAGAATATGGTTAGGTTATGGGTAGAAAATGATAAGATTATGATAGATTGATAGAACGATAACGTTAGGATACGTTCCTGTGACAATATGATTAAAGTACGTTCATGTAACGAAATGACTGTGATAGGTATAAGAATGTTAATGCTATGATAAGTTGGGGAGCGATATGACCACAAAATATTACAATANTATATTATTGAGGGTAATATGTAAGAAAGAATAGGATTTGTAAGCTCATGCATATTTTATAGTGCATCGAGATACTTCAACTTTATGATAAGTACAAATGCATACACTATGAGATTGAAATGACCATCATGCTTAGCATGGTGTAACGATGGTCGCTATTCCCTCTGGGTGTCTAGTTACAGCCCAAAGGAGCTAGTTCGACCAGCAGGCCCAAAGAGTGTGCAAGCACGCCTGGTGGATCCATTCTCGCACGTGTGGGTCGTTTGTAGAAAAGTACTACACATCCAATTTACTCGGATTGGAAAACCATCTAAGATAAGTCAACCACATAGTTGACTCATAAAAAGCATTTTCTTTCTTTAAAAGAAACAACCCCCACAAAGGCATTATAAGCAAGAAATAACAATCATTCAATCGATTGCCTAAATGAAGGGGGAAATGAAATAAGTAATCCAATTAGTTGGATTAAAAAAGCCTCAAAAAGTGGTGCATCATCATGTGTCGGTTTAATTATTGCCCTCATTTCTTATCCCATGTTTGCCTTATCATACCAAAAATCTTTACATATCTTTTTCCATTTACCATCATCATTAATCCATTTTGTAGTTCACACAAACAAATCCTTTCCATCCGTAGGGGAGGAGACCTTTGGTTAAGGGGAGGAGACGTCTAACCACATTCCTGTTTATAGACTGGCTGGGTTAAGGGAACCCGGAACCCACCGAAGCCATAGAAAAGAGTGTTCATAGGGGCAATTGTCATTACTTATGGACCCAGCCCCTTGATCTATCCAGGACCAAGATGAAGCTGGATCAAAAACATATAAATCAAGAACATAAATTATATTTTTGAAGCTGAAAAACAATGAGAGGAAGTATAAGAGTGGGGAAAAAGGATCGAGTTGAACATTTAAGGAAAAACCAAAGCTGAGCTTTTTTTATTGACAATACAGATCGAACCCATCTCTGTTTTTCTTTTTCTATTGTTAGTTCAAACACATCCTTCATCCTCATTCTCAAAAAAATAAAGGAAACAAAAGAAAAA